GTGACATATTCTAGCCCGGAATCCCCACGACCCTATATACTACTCAGCAGCCATTCGTCACCACTCGCATGTTTCCGTAACCTACAATCCTTGTCCCGGAATGGGACGAGTTGGTAACGAATGCTCTGCAGCCCGTCCTGCGAGCAGCTCGTAAGTTCAGCTCTCACAAAAGGCATTTATAAAGAGTGACTGAACGCCATATCAGATGGGTATCAGGTCTTAATCGTTTACAACGTTGGTGAAGCCAAGAATCATAATCAGAGCGAATCTGGTATTCGAGCACATGATCCTGGCTGACCAAGGGACACAACTCTACACTGCGTCATTAATCACAGCAACAACAAAAAACGCTACGAATCCCATGTGACAAGTTTATTCTTCTGTATATGTACATCTCCACAAGTACATAAGTAGTCGCAACGTAAACAGTTTTTGCTTGCTACAAAACTAAACTGAAATGTGAATAATAAAAAAATTACATAATACACTCCACAGCGTAAAGTAGCATGTAATAAAGTTAGTACACAAAACACAAGGCCAAGGACCAAGTAGTTGTCTCATGGAGAACGGTGTTTTGGATGGATTTTTTCCGATGTATGATTGTTAACAGTTTTTCTGACCTTTAAGATAGTGTTGTCATTATGTCTGGCTCGGTCATAATTCACCTTCGTATTCTTTGTTTGTGAACGAAATTTTTATGGATACAATCAGTTCACCGACAGCAAATCATCTATCACACCGACAACATGGCATTCTTCATGACGTATGAAAGAGGCCGACACACTACACATCTGGCAAGGGGATACCGCAGTCTCCATTATATCTTAACAAAATTAATATTCCTCACATTACCTTAAACATGCAACAACAAAAAATGCAACAAAAAATATTAATGTTTGAAAAGAAGGAAAGACATACCCTGATTTTTTTCTTATTGGAATCAGGGTTCCTTCCGATCTGATAATGTTTATGAAATTTATGTCAATGAAAATTTGCAGAAGAGCGCCGATAGAGCCTGACCTGTGACTCTCTGGACAACCATGCGATACTTGAACAAATGTCCACGCCACATAATATGCATAATCTGTTACACCTGTAACGTGTTTTATACTTGATGGCGAAGTTTCAGATTGTGTTTTCAAAACAGCTATGGAAGTAGTTGGTTCTTTATAGCTTGGGCTGTTAATTTAGTCCAATTTAGTTTTACAATCCACTAATATATACTTCCGGTCTTAGCGCTCCGCCCAGCATCGTTCCGTGTCGGAATAAATACATGCATATTTCGAGTCGAGTTGTGTTGACAATGCACATAGGCTATCAACTCCGTATGTAACGAGGAACTGACTTCAAATATCGGCTATACCGAAGCATAGCCTTTGCCTGTAATCGTGGCATGATTAACACGTGGATAGAAATTCCGGATATACCGAAGCTATGTTATAGATCATGTTGCTCTCGTTATGTCCGAAGCTTGAAATCTTAACTTAAAACTTCTAGTCACATATGTGCCTATCTTAAACAAACAATGTTTAAACAATGTGTCAACGGTAATCCTTCGATACACCTACCTGTAAAGGCTTAAAGTGTGCAATGAAAATATTATGACAAGAAATATGTTTTTCGTTTTTGTGACTGAGTGAGTGAGTTGGATTTAATGCCGTTTTGAACATTATTCCAGTTCTATCACGGCGTGTCAGCTTGATGTGGGAGGAAAGCTCTAAATGATGCAGGTCTTAGACGTCGTTTTTGTGGTCAAGTGTGGTAACCGTATAAAGTCATTATCGCGATCTATGTGTTATCAGCTGGCAATCGCAGTAATCTGTTTCTGTTTGTAAGTAAGCTAATAAGCACCAACGCGTTAACCACAAGCCTTGCCCGGTTCCCTTCCCAGGCCTTCCCAGGGATCAAGGTTGGCGTAGCGCAAGCGCAGCCTTCCCAGGGAACCAGGTTGGTGTAGCGCAAGCGCAGCCTACCCAGGGAACCAGGCTGATGAAGTGCAAGCGCATCGTATCCAGGGATCCAGGATACCTGCTTTGCTCTCAGTGTGTGATTGAAGTGAGTTTTACGCCGCCTTTAGGGATATTCATGCCATACCAGGGCGGAGATACCAGAAATGGGCTTCCCCCATTCGACTCATCTGGGAATCGAACCAACGCTTTAACCACTTAGCTACCCAACCACCCAAGGCATGCGCCATCAGGGTTATGCTACACCAATTTTGGTCAAAATGGTTGATTATCTGTAAACAAACAACGTTAACAGGAGAGCGAACGTCGAGCCGCTGTATAAGCTCTACTGTAGCCTGCCACCAGCTGGGCTCATTAAACTAAACAGCTGTTGTATCTATGTGCATTTAATTTGTTTACATTCATTAATAACGACAACAAAAACAGGTGATGAAATACGTCAAGCCACTAAACTGAATACACGGAAAGCACGGTGACTCATCATAGAACACAGCACATAAAACGGTGTATACCAAATGAGTAAGCACGTTGTGCTGTAATGAACATGTGGCCTTTATGAACTATACATAACGATTACCACCCCTTTTCTCTCGATGATACGGTACAATGTTTGAATAACTGCAGGCAAAATAGGATAGGATGTTTTGGAGTGATAAACAGTATTAAACAGCCATGAAAGCATGATTGCAGTAAACGCCCAGAAGTTCACAGTGACCTACTTCAGAGTGGAAAGCACGATGCGATACCACGGTGGGGAGTCATGGCCGTGAAGACCTGACCCCGGTTGAGAACAGTCACGTACAAGGAGTATATTCCTTGAATCTTTACGACTGCCCCTGAGTTAGTGAGTACGCCCTTTTCGCAATATTCGAGCAATATTACGGCGAGGACATCAGCGTGAGTATGGTTTTACGCCGCTTTTAGCAATAATCCAGCAATATCACGGCGGGGGACACCAGTAATGGGCTTCACACATTGTACCCATGTCAGGATCGAACCCGGATCTTCGGCGTGACGGGCGAACGCTTTAACCACTAGGCTACCCGACCGCCCCTGTCGGATTACCGCGGTGATTCCGGGAAAACCTATAGTTGCCGTAATAGGCAGGTAATGGATTGGGTGGTCAGGCTCGATGACTTGGTTTATTGAATGTCAACGTGCCCGACAGCTTGAGACGTTGTTCATTCTTTCCTTCACTGGTTTGTCTGGTCCAGACTCGATAATATACAGGCCGCTGTGAAATAGCCGGAATATTGCTGACTGCGGAACTGAACAACAAACACACAAATAAATAAATAAAAAACTACAAGAATAACCCCCACCCCCACCCCCACTCCCACCTCCGATAGCTACACCGAAGGCTTAAGCTCATAAAAGCGTATGTGATATTAAGTCGAAACAGCAAGGTCGATTAATTAGACAAAGTCGGCATGAACATGTATTGATAAGGATGATTCTCATGTGTACCAGAAGCGAACATGACCAGTGAGTGATGATGCCTGTACAACAACGTCATAAAATATGAACATAATAAATTACATAATATAACATGATCTCTGTGATATATATTTTACAATGTGATATGGTCCATGTAACGTAGCCTTCATGTAAACGTGTATATTATCGTCTCATGTAGACAAAGGACATAGGAATTGAAGCAGTGATGGATTTTTTGTTTTGAACTCCGTTGCCACGTAAATAGTTTCGCGTGGCAAAGCCTGGTTTTGGTTTAAGCACCATAATTAGTAATCCTATTTCGCGTAACAAGTTAGAGAACGAGTTCCAGAGTCTGTTACTCTGACACTGTGTGATATATTGGTACCCCTTCACAGCGAGAAAGGTATGTGGCATCTTGTACCTCGGTCTCAAAGTAAATAAGACACTTCAAAATGAAAAACAAAAGCAAGCGCGACGCAGTTTGTGAATTACACAAGACCCTTGGGAGTGTATTGCGTGGAGCTTTAACTATAGGAGTTAAGAAAGTTGTAGCGCCACGATCGTTTTGCGTGACGGGCCCCATGGCCTCATTGTCCAAAGCGATTTTAGTTCTACGATCATCGTAAGTCAATGTTAATGCGTGGGAGTTACGATCATCTTAACGCTAAGATGACTTTGTTGAACGGGACCCAGGTTAATACCGTCACACTGAGATGATGTTGAAGTTGATGTGGAAGGATGGTGGTTTACATTAGATGAATGTGGTCATGCTCATCGGTACGGTATTGAGTGGAGCTTAACGCAAGGTAGGCAGCACATTAGTTACGATTCGGAGGGTACACTCTGATCCATTCACATAAATTCCCACATCCGCAGGCTCGAACCTGGGCCCCGCCCCACAAAGCGAACGTAGCGCTACGACTGTCGTAAGCCAATGTTAAAGTATGGGTGTTACAATCACCTTAGCGCTACGACTGTCGTAAGCCAATGTTAAAGTATGGGAGTTACAATCACCTTAGCGCTACGACTGTCGTAAGCCAATGTTAAAGTATGGGTGTTACAATCACCTTAGCGCTACGACTGTCGTAAGCCAATGTTAAAGTATGGGAGTTACGATCACCTTAGCGCTACGACTGTCGTAAGCCAATGTTAAAGTATGTGAGTTACGATCACCTCAGCGCTACGACTGTCGTAAGCCAATGTTAAAGTATTGGAGTTACGATCACCTCAGCGCTACGACTGTCGTAAGCCAATGTTAAAGTATGGGAGTTACGATCACCTTAGCGCTACGACTGTCGTAAGCCAATGTTAAAGTATGGGTGTTACAATCACCTTAGCGCTACGACTGTCGTAAGCCAATGTTAAAGTATGAGAGTTACGATCACCTTAGCGCTACGACTGTCGTAAGCCAATGTTAAAGTATGAGAGTTACGATCACCTTAGCGCTACGACTGTCGTTAGCGCTACGACTGTCGTAAGCCAATGTCAAAGTATTGGAGTTACGATCACCTCAGCGCTACGACTGTCGTAAGCCAATGTTAAAGTATGTGAGTTACGATCACCTTAGCGCTACGACTGTCGTAAGCCAATGTTAAAGTATGTGAGTTACTATCACCTCAGCGCTACGACTGTCGTAAGCCAATGTTAAAGTATGTGAGTTACGATCACATTAGCGTAACGATCGCTTTGTGGAACGGGGCCAAGGTGTTTGTGTGTGACGTGTAAACACCAACCACAGACGCTTGCGATGCTGATTTATGCAACGAACCCATGGACCCGTTCACAAAGCGACCTCGGTGCTACAACCAACGCGTCTCTTATACTAGTCTGTCATATAGACACTGAAACAAAACTTAAAAAGTTTAAATATCAAGTAAGTTAAAATTGTCTCTAGTCCTTTCTGCTACATATAAACGAGAATTTAACAACATAAAGTTTTACTTCAGAGACTGCAGAGCTAAGGTCTTTTCGTGCCACTGGGCATGAAAATACATGTATATCAATAATATTCCAAAATGCACGTATTAAGGTTACGAGTGAATGCAAGGACGCTGAAGTGACAGAGGTCCGAAAACTCGATCCTTGAGAATATACATAATTTACCAAGGTCGTTTCATCCTCGATGTGTACGGGTCTACTTCGACATATTTAGATGCTTATGTGTCATGATACCAATGTTTCGCATCAGTCAAGCAGGCCTCGTCAAGGTTGCTTGCCAATGATTTCACAGAACATTGCGCACTTGGGAGAAACCTGATGTACCCACACTTTCCCAAAATGATGAGCAAACCTAATAGTACGATCACATTTGTAGGGTTATCGATTAGACTATTCACATCCATTGTGTTTTCACCTTATGACGTGTTTTGACTTCACTGACCACTGATGAGACATATGACAAAAGCCAGCGTAAATAGTGCGCCACCATAGGCACCGATGCCGTTAAAGGTAACCAGTCGTGATCTGTAATTGCATGCAGAATCTCGTGACGTCATATGCGAGAACGCTGATGAACTATTCACATCTCAGGGACACACATACGGCATGTATGTACATAGACTGGCTTTCTGCATCTAATGACCTAGTGCTTGTAGTATCATCACCATGAACTCGTAAGCTTCGTCAATTAAATATCTTAAACAGTTTGTTGAATGTTGTGGGGGTTTTCTTGGCTGTGTTCTTTTCCTCCTTACGGTCAGACGTCCCCCTGGGGGACTTAGGCCTGCGGGCAGAAGCAAAGAACGCTGCCTTGTCCTCCGATATAACGAGTGGCTGTAACACGTGACCGTACTTTTCCTGGTGAATGTCCTGCAGCACGCGCTGAAACACGCCCTCCACGTGCTCGAACTCCTCGGCTGCCGTCGTCTCGAAGAACGAACAGTCCACTTCTGCGGCCAACCCAGACCCTTCTGCCTTGCTGATCTGTCTGAAATGAACACAACGTTGGTATTTTATTTAAGACGAAACCTTGAGCTGTACGGTTGGGTGCAAAGACTATCTATGTTACAGCGTGGCATACAAACCATATCATTTCCCCTCCTGCCCAGCCCTAACTGTTATACTATAGCCCTAATGAAGCAAGTCCAGATTTTCCACATATTCTGAATCTTAAATCTCACTGGGGTTCATTTCAATTTAAAAGTAGTTGTTTCTTTCCCCAAAACATATATATTTACAGAGACGAAGTGTCTAACCATAGGTTGACAGCGGTAGGCATTTGCTTTTGTTTTTGTTTGTTTGTTTTTTCTTGTTTAACTGTTCATGAGACTGCATTAGTGAGTAATCTGTACGAGAATAGAAACGCCAATACCAATATTTGTCCCAAAAGGCGACTATGCTTGTCGTTAGAGGCGACTAACGGGATCGGGTGGTCAGGCTCCCTGACTTGGTTGATGCATGTCATCGATCTCAATAGCGTGGAGCGATGCTCATGATATTAATCACTGGAATGTCTGGTCCAGACTCGATTATTTACAGACCGCCGTCATATAGCTGGAATATTGCTGAGTGCGGCGTGAAACAACAAACAAACAAACCAACATAGTGTACAAGTTCTAAGTTCTCTTGGGGCCCCATGCCTATTTCAACAGGTAGATTATGATAAGTACTTAAGTATCTTTAAAAAAGGGGAAAATCATGAAGATGACCTTGACGTTTGACTAATCATGACCTTTCCAAAACGGGACCCCATCCTATAGAAGAAGGTTTATGCGGTTTATAATAACCACAAGCGGATCTCCCGACCTTAAAGCAGACTGCTAAAAAATGTTGGGTGGACATGGTGGATGTCCTGAATAATGTTGCGATAAAAACCTGTTTTGTTCCACTTCTCAGAGAAAAGACTGTATGTGGGGAAGCAATGACCGAAACAATATTCTGTCTCTAACAGTAAAACAAAGATCTCACCACAAATGTAGGTCCCTAAATGTACGTCAGAGGGTTCGGGAATGGCGGGACGGACCTAAGAGTGGGTCGCTAGGCGTAGATCTGTTTACAACCAGTAGCAGCCTACCTGTATCTCTCCAGATCAATCTTGTTGCCGACCAGCGCGACCGGACACTCTCTGGACGTGTTCTTCAGATGTTGAGTGACCAGGTCCAGATACTCCCGGGCCTTGTCGAAACTCTGCCTGCTGGTGATACTGTACACCACCAGGAAGCCGTCTGCCCACTTCAGATAGCGCATTGCCTCGCTGTCGTCCTGGCGGGAAAAAGAGATATGAATGAGGCAGGGCGTATGTCATGTTTCATGGAGTGTGATACCAATACGTCACCAGCCTAAGCAATTCACGTAAAAGCGATGGTTGTACTGCAGGATCACCAAGTCACCGAGCCTGACCACCCGATCCCTTTACTCGCTTCTTGCAAGGATGGGTTGCTTGGAGATCTCGACGGGTCTTCACTGCACTGTTACATACTAAGCCTATAACATGGACATACTGAAGGAACCTCATCAAATCCTGTTGATATGTTCATGTCGAAATAAGCATCCCACCAGACGCGCCACATTTGCAACATTTATCGTGTAGAAGGAACGATGAACGTAGTGTCGAAGTAGATTCGAACTTGTGTCGAACTTGTGTCGAATTAGTATCACGTCAAACCGCACCGCCAAACAATATCACGACACAATCACAGGTTTTCACATTTTACAAATTCATAAAACGCCCATTTAGTGCATCTACCTGACTGACAACATCCATAACCACCCGAACACAATGAGTGAGTATGATTTTACGCCGTTTCAGCAACATCCCGGTATACAGGGGCTTGATACACCCAGAAATATTATAAAAAGTCATACATTCCCCCACGCGCAGAATAGAAGCCGATATTTCTGCGTGATGGCCAACGTTGTAACCACTAAGCTATCTTAACCTTGTATCAAACAACATCTCGGCCAAAAAAGCACCAAAATATCTTCTCTTCACTTGCCTCAGTCAAATATGTGCCTTACATGCAAACTATTCCAGCAAGCATACAAAAACATCTCACTCAAAGAGGTTGACTTCATTCAAGCAGCGAAGCCAAACATGCCCTGAATGTAGCGTATGATTATGATGATGTTCATGACAGTTTGCCAGTGTCTATATTCGTACTGCATATCAGTATCCCCCTAGGATACACTAGAAGGGTACAGGTCTGAGATTCTCATACACCCATGAGTAACCACGCATGAAGGCTTTAGACAACCAAAATGGCGGGTATCCAACTGTACTGTGTATCTCATCTAAAATCTAGGTCGTCAAGTGAACGCAAACAGTTTGTAACCCTTACTCTAATTAACGAGAACGTCAGTGAAAATGGGTTCATACAAAAGACAAAAAGCGCCACAAGACTCTTTAGCTCACCTGATTTTCTGAATTGTAAACAGGAATATGTAAAATGGGTAACAGAAGCGCTGGGACAAGAAAATAGTGCGACTATTTCATAATGATATGTGTGTGTGTGTGTGTGTGTGTGTGTGTGTGTGAAGCACAGATAGCTCAACAAGATAAAAATAAATAAATAGAAATACACCAAAATACGAACCATATGTTGTATCACTTAATAAATGCTGAATGCATAGCAAATTTCATAACGCTACATGCAGAAATGGTTGCCTAATGGGGAAATTTTGCAAATCCAATATGGTTGACTTGGCGGCCATGTTTAAAATCGAATTGGAGTTCTTTGGGCAAATATTAGAGTCGCCATCGCTGGGATTATTTATACAAGATTTAAGCATCAAAAGACATAATGGTTCAATGGGGATGTCGTAAAAGTATCTCTAGGTTTGTCAGCACCATACCCATGCTGACGGGTTTCACCAAAGTGGTAAACGTCTGAGACCAGCATCACTTCGGGTCTTCCTCCCACATTAAGCCGACACGCCGTGATAAACTGGAATACTGTTTCACAATTCACTCACTCCAAAAATTAACAGTAAATGTTTATGACGGACAGACAACGGGAAAGGAACTGAGGCCATAGGATCGTTCAGTTCAGGTGAGCTTCAACCAAAAGAAACTCGCCTTATCCTGGACACAAACTCACCCTATCCTAAACACAAACTCACCCTATCTTAGACACAATCTCAACCTATCCTAGACACAATCTCAACCTATCCTAGACACAATCTCAACCTATCCTAGACACAATCTCAACCTATCCTAGAAACAATCTCAACCTATCCTAGACACAAACTCACCCTATCCTAGACACAATCTCAACCTATCCTAAACACAAACCCACCCTATCATAGAAACAAACTCACCCTATCCTAGACACAATCTCACCCTATCCTAAACACAAACTCGTTCTATCCTATACACAATCTCACCCTGTCCTTGACACAAACTCGCCCTGTCCTAGACACAATCTCAACCTATCCAAAACACAAACTCGTTCTATCCTATACACAATCTCACCCTATCCTAGACACAAACTCACCCTCTCCTTGACACAAACTCAACCTATCCTAAACACAAACTCACCCTATCCTAGACACCAACAGTTCAAACAGCACCTTGTTAATGAACCCATATGGAGGAACTCTACAAGACAATGCTGCGGTGTCACAAACTGTATCCTTTGTCGTTTATCTAGTTCAAATCTGTGGAAATGTTATGGTAAATGCTATGGTGGTGTTGCTCTCCAATGTGTGTAAGGTGCACCGTGACCTGAATGCTATTTCCAGCTGCAAAGGTAAAATATTCATCTGGGCTACTTCCAAAACAACAAGTGCTTGAACTACATATGTATGTGTTTTAGAAATTTGTACTGCAGTTACGATGACTACTCTGTTTGTATGAATAACAGCACCCCTCAATGCAGACAACAGGTGGTCCCGCCATCTACGTACAAGACACGCGTTACGTACGTACAACTGCACGCTCTTATGCAAGTTATACTATTTTCAGTACATGGTGTGATATGTTGGCTCTGTATGCTATTTGGTCCTTATCTGTAGTAAATTGAGCTTGCTGCACTGCCATATACCAAACTGACATAAACGACACCGAGACGTCATGGTATTACTGAGCATGCGTTACTCTGACACGTTATTTTTAACATGCACTTTGCATTCTTCAACTACCCAATGTCGCCTTTTCAGCTTGCGTTCCCGAATATCTGTACTCAACCTTATTTCCTGACCGAATGCTTGCATCACCTATACATGCACACTACTGCAGTGAATAATGCACAAAACTGCTACAACTCGCTTATTGCAATTAGAAAGAGAAAATTAAAAGTAATCTGAAAAAGTATTTCAAGCAGAATTATTAAAAAAAATGTCTACTCATTAGTTTAAAAATACTCAAAAGATAGATCCAAGGTAGTACAGTATACTTACAATACCCAAAGAAAGCTACTTAATACCCAATGTGAATGATATCATAAATATATACTCAATGGCTCAAGACATTATCTGGATCCCTGAGCTCGATGAAGGGGCAGCGTTTCGCGGTCTCGTGCCCATTTCCAAAATGGTTCCAGAGGTGTCAGTTAGGTTCATCTCTAACTGTTAGATTCACACGAATCATGCCACAATATCGGACAAAAGTGATGATTTTGAATAATTTGAATCAAACTTGCTAAAACTACAAGAGCATAGTCCCCGTTTGAATACTAATTGTCTAAAGTGGCCGCTTACTCGGGACCAAATATTGTCCGGTGGCACTGGGATCCCTGCATGCCAGAACCGAATACTGATCCTGTGGCACCACGTGGGTTGGTGTCCATTGGCAACAAGTAATGGTGATGTTGCACTTCTTCAAATGATTAAGTGAACTGTTCACTGAAGAAATGGTGGTTTTGTTGTACAGCAATACACATTTCGTTACGTAACGTGGCTCGTTATATCTCAGCTCACAAGGAACTATAAAACCCTTTAATGACATGTCACTGTCTGCCACTCGTTAGTTTGCAAATACTGATATATTTACTTCCATAAGAGCACACAAGATGTGTTACCTTATCACAGGTATCCATGATATTGACGAGTAGCTCCTGGCCGTCCCAGTCCTCGTGCTTCGTATACGTCCCCTCTGTAAACATACATGGAAGCATGACCAGACATTAACACTGACCAGACATTAACATGGAAGCATGACCAGACATTAACACTGACCAGACATTAACATGGAAGCATGACCAGACATTAACACTGACCAGACATTAACACTGACCAGACATTAACACTGGCCAGACATTAACACTGACCAGACATTAACATGGAAGCATGACCAGACATTAACACTGACCAGACATTAACACTGACCAGACATTAACATGGAAGCATGACCAGACATTAACACTGACCAGACATTAACATGGAAGCATGACCAGACATTAACACTGACCAGACATTAACATGGAAGCATGACCAGACATTAACATGGAAGCATGACCAGACATTAACACTGACCAGACATTAACATGGAAGCATGACCAACATTAACACTGACCAGACATTAACATGGAAGCATGACCAGACATTAACACTGACCAGACATTAACATGGAAGCATGACCAGACATTAACATGGAAGCATGACCAGACATTAACACTGACCAGACATTAACATGGAAGCATGACCAGACATTAACACTGACCAGACATTAACATTGGCGCTGACCAGACATTAACATGGAAGCATGACCAGACATTAACACTGACCAGACATTAACATGGAAGCATGACCAGACATTAACATGGAAGCATGACCAGACATTAACACTGACCAGACATTAACATTGAAGCATGACCAGACATTAACACTGACCAGACATTAACACTGACCAGACATTAACACTGACCACACATTAACATGGAAGCATGACCAGACATTAACATGGAAGCATGACCAGACATTAACACTGACCAGACATTAACACTGACCAGACATTACCATTGGCGCTGACCAGACACTAACACTGACCAGACATTAACACTGACCAGACATTAACATTGGCGCTGACCAGACATTAACATGGAAGCATGACCAGACTTTAACACTGACCAGACATTAACACTGACCAGACATTAACATTGACCAGACATTAACACTGACGCTGACCAGACATTAACACTGACGCTGACCAGACACTAACACTGACCAGACATTAACACTGACTCTGACCAGACATTAACACTGACCAGACATTAACACTGACCAGACATTAACATTAACACTGACCAGACATTAACATGGAAGCATGACCAGACATTAACACTGACGCTGACCAGACATTAACACTGACGCTGACCAGACATTAACACTGACCAGACATTAACATTGACCAGACATTAACACTGACGCTGACCAGACAATAACACTGACGCTGACCAGACATTAACATTAACACTGACCAGACATTAACACTGACGCTGACCAGACATTAACACTGACGCTGACCAGACATTAACATTGGCGCTGACCAGACATTAACACTGACCAGATATTAACATTGGCGCTGACCACACATTAACACTGACGCTGACCAGACATTAACACTGACGCTGACCAGACATTAACATTGGCGCTGACCAGACATTAACACTGACCAGATATTAACATTGACGCTGACCAGGCATTAACACTGACGCTGACCAGACATTAACACTGACGCTGACCAGACATTAACATTGGCGCTGACCAGACATTAACACTGACCAGATATTAACATTGGCGCTGACCACACATTAACACTGACGCTGACCAGACATTAACACTGACGCTGACCAGACATTAACATTGGCGCTGACCAGACATTAACACTGGCCAGATATTAACATTGACGCTGACCAGACATTAACACTGACGCTGACCAGACATTAACACTGACGCTGACCAGACATTAACATTGGCGCTGACCAGACATTAACACTGACCAGATATTAACATTGGCGCTGACCAGACATTAACATTAACACTGACCAGACATTAACATTGGCGCTGACCAGACATTAACATTGGCGCTGACCAGACATTAACATTGGCGCTGACCAGACATTAACACTGACGCTGACCAGACATTAACACTGACGCTGACCAGACATTAACACTGACGCTGACCAGACATTAACATTGGCGCTGACCAGACATTAACACTGACCAGATATTAACATTGGCGCTGACCAGACATTAACATTAACACTGACCAGACATTAACATTGGCGCTGACCAGACATTAACATTGGCGCTGACCAGACATTAACATTGACGCTGACCAGACATTAACATTGGCGCTGACCAGACATTAACATTGGCGCTGACCAGACATTAACATTGGCGCTGACCAGACATTAACATTGGCGCTGACCAGACATTAACATTGACGCTGACCAGACATTAACATTGACGCTGACAAGACATTAACATTGGCGCTGACCAGACATTAACATTGGCGCTGACCAGACATTAACATTGACGCTGACCAGACATTAACATTGGCGCTGACCAGACATTAACATTGGCGCTGACCAGACATTAACATTGGCGCTGACCAGACATTAACATTGGCGCTGACCAGACATTTGACGCCGAGAGCACACAGATACATAGTGGACATGCAGGTTAAAGAAACACACATGCGTCCTGTAGTAACGTGTACGTTATAAACATGTGTTATATGATATAACATATGGTACGTTATGCCTATGTGCTATAGAATGGTACGTGATACACATGTGTTATAGAATGGCACGTTATGCCTATATGCTATAGAATGGTACGTGATACACTTGTGTTATAGAATGGTACGTTATGCCTATAGGCTATAGAATGGTACGTGATACACATGTGTTATAGAATGGTACGTTATGCCTATAGGCTATAGAATGGTACGTGATACACATATGTTATAGAATGGTACGTTATGCCTATAGGCTATAGAATGGTACGTGATACACATGTGTTATAGAATGGTACGGTATGCCTATAGGCTATAGAATGGTACGTGATACACATGTGTTAAAGAATGGCACGTTATGCCTATATGCTATAGAATGGTACGCTATACACATGTGTTATAGAATGGTACGTTATGCCTATAGGCTATAAATGGTACGTTATACAAATGTGCTATAGAATGGTACGTTATGCCTTTATGCTATAGAATGGTACGTATGCCTTTATGCTATAGAATGGTACATTAAACACATGTTTAATAGGATAGTACGTTATGTCTATGTGCTATAGAATGGTACATTATGCCTATATGCTATAGAATGGTACGTTATGCAATGTAAAATAGAATGGTACGTTTAGCCTATGTGCTATAGAATGGTACGTTATGCCTAAATGCTATAGAATTCTATGTTATACACATGTTTAATAGAATGGTACGTTATGTCTATGTGCTATAGAATGGTACGTTATGCACATGTTTAATATAATGGTACGTTATGTCTATGTGCTATAGACTGGTACGTTATGCCTATATGCTATAGAATGGTACGTTTTACATATGTGCTGAGGAATTGTACGTTATGCCTAAATGCTACAGAATTGTACGTTATACACATGTTAAATAGAATGGTACATTATGTCTATATGCTATAGAATGGTACGTGATGCCTATGTGCTATAGAAAGGTACGTTTTACCTATGTGCTATAGAATGGTACGTTTTGCCTATGTGCTATAGAATGGTACGTTATACAGATGTGCTGAGGAATGGTACGTTTTGCCTATGTGCTATTAAATGGTACGTCATGCCTATGTGTTATAGAATGGTACGTTATACTCATGTGTAAAAAAATGGTACGTTATGTCTATGTGCTATACAATAGTACGTTATACTCATGTGTAAAAAAATGGTACGTTATGTCTATGTGCTATACAATAGTACGTTATACACGTGCGCTATGGAATGGTACGTTATGCCTAAATGCAATAGAATGGTACGTTATACACATGTGTAAAAGAATGGTACGTTATGCCTCTGTGTTATAGAATGATACGTTATACACACGTGTATAGAATGGTAGGTTACAAAAATGGGTTACGCACAGGATTGTAGAAAGATATTATAATTAAGGGATACACGTTATACATGTGTTATAGAATGGCAGGTAATGCCATGTGTCATGTTATACGCGTGTGTTGTAGAATGGTAGGTTATATACACGTGTCATAGAATGGTAGGTTATGCCTTTGTGTCATAGTACGATACGTTACACACAGGTGTTATAGAATAGTACGGTATATACGTGTTAAGGAATAGTACATTATAAACATGTGTTATGGAATGGTACAGTATAAACATGTGTTACACAATGTATACACACATAGAATGGTAGGTTATGCTCAGGATTATTGAAAGGTAATCTGTTAACTGATACAGATGTGTATAGAATGGAGCGTTATAACAACGTGTTATAAAGTGGTACATAATGACGTGCTATAGAATGGTAGGTTATGCTCAGGATTCTAGACAGGTAATCTGGTAACTGATACAGATGTGTATAGAATGGAGCGTTATAACAACGTGTTATAAAGTGGTACATAATGCGAGCTATAGAATGGTAGGTTATGCACAGGATTATAGAAAGGTATTATGATACACAGGTGTATAGAATGGAGCGATATAACAATGTATATAAAATGGTACATACTGACGTGCTATAGAATGGTAGGTTATGCACAGGATTATACAAAGGTATTATGATACACAGGTGTATAGAATGGTACGTTATAACAATGTGTTATAGAATGGTAGGTGTTAAGAATGTTATTGAATGGTACGTTATAATAATGTGTTATAGAATGGGTGTTTATGCACAGGATAGTAGTATGCTATGATAACTGATACATATTGCAACAGTCCCGGTCAAGTGGTGGTTCTGCTGTTGCACACATCATTCATGAGTGATAGGTCTGGCATACTCGTTTTCATTTTCATATTTTCAACAAGTCATTCACATGACAAATATACTTGTCATAGCATAAAATATGACTCGTACTATAAACATAATGTTTAAAATAACTGGAACATCCTTGAGTAATGGTGCTGCATATGTCAGTGACTAATATTACAGGGCAACAATCATGGACGTGTGAGTTCTACACGTAGACCCGTGGTTTGCTGCTCTCTGTTGGTTATATGCTACGTACGTGCATTGATATATATTAATGCTACTTTCAACATTTGATTATCTGCTAAATAACATGTAGTGTATGAGTGAGTGAGTGGGTATGGTTTTACGCCGCTTTTAGCAATATTCCAGCAATATCACGGCGGGGGACACCAGAAATGGGCTTCACACATTGTACCCATGTCGGGAATCGAACCCGGGTCTTCGTCGTGACGAGCTAACGCTTTAACCACTAGGCTACCCGACCGCCCCTGTAGTGTATGACGTGCCATGAATGTATCTTAACTTACAATTGTCTACACAGTTACAATTCAGTTACGTTTGCATATTTTCTATAGTGTTACTTACCAAGGTCAGGGTCATACTCCATGATGAACCGCTTTGTGATGTACTTGACGGTGAGCGCTAGAAACAAATCAGCATATCCAATATGAATAAGCATAAAGTGTATCTGTACGTTTCAAAAGCAAAAAAGCATAATTCTATTTTCTTCTTCATTTATTTCATTGAACACATGGTGAAACCCTATTAATCAAGCCTCCGTTCGTATGGAAACCCAGGGATATATGTTGATACTGTCTGCAGGAACCAAAAGTGGCATTAACAGTCAACAATTTCGTTAAAAAATAAAAGTGACAAAAAACATTGCCATAACCATAATATAAAACGTCAATGCCAGAAAATAACCAGTTTCAATTATCTGCCGAAACCGATTTCATTAGGCGTAAAACAGCGGTAAAAGTAAGAAATCTCTACTAAAAGCAGAGTCCATTGTGCGATTGAGACTCTATCATAAGCCTGTGTTTATGAATCATTATCAAATAGGTTGATACTAAGTGTTCGCAAGAAGGTGAGCGTATCCTGCCCCACCGGTGTCACCCATCAAAAACACATGCAAATGGAAGTCAGTTGTTCATCTGAAACACGGGAACATACGGCACAAGTCGAAATAGGACTTGCATCAGACGCAAGGGTTGTCACTGATGCGTCAAATTTTGGACGATTGTACGATTCTGGCTTTATTAACCCCGATTAACCCTGATAAAAACAACTTTTGATCAAGAGTCGTATGACGCTCTTTGAAAACTTCGCAAAAAGAGTATGCTTGAGCGTATCTCAAACGTTGTGAAATGTAAGACATACAGTCTTATAGAGAGTTGTTTTTGTCACTCTGAAACTTATTGCACAGATCTTAAAATGAAACAGATGAGGCGGTTTCATTTGTCTCTTTCATTTCTTGTTCAGGTTGGTAAATCAGTGGAAGGTAACTGGTAAGTTGACCATTGCTGATCGATTCCAGATCATCGATATACCTGAAGCTTAAGTTAAAGTTCTTGGTTAACTTTGCTTGCTTTATTTTGCATAATTCGAACAGACATTCCCATTTATTCTGTAAAACCCCATTTACTGCGATCATGCTATTAATGTGTATGGAGAATATGATTTATTTTATATTATTTAAAAGACATTACTCAATAAATACCGAGGACTCGTTATTCCGTGTATTTGTCAATTCTGACGATGTCTGGAGGTAAGTGACCTTTTGGATTAACGGGGACTAACTGCCAGAGGAATAACTCGTCATATCAACGATTACAGAGAGCATAATGTCCAATAGCATTATCGAATCGGGCTTATGCTTATGAAGGGTCGACCATGTTATTTTTGGGTGCAGGCCTGGGTTTTTTGTTCTTGACAAATTGTATTTCTCTTAATTCTTTCGACACATGCAAATTGTTTTACCTACCAGGAGCTACAGAAAATACATTTGGCACCCATACTACATTAAGATTCCTTGCTTTCATCCGGTCCTGTATTCATTTCACCCTGATGCGGTACAAACAAGGTTTTTTTGTCGAGAAGAAATACAGGCAATGTTATTTCTTTCAAATAAATCTCCGAAAAGTTCCGACAGCAAAACTTAAATAACCAAACTAATAGCATACACAAAACGTTAAGACTCAAATACGTTTTGACCTAACCTACCGGGCAAAAGTAAGTTTTCACTTGACTAAATTTTATATGGATTCGACCAAATGATTAAAAATGTTACTAGGCTGAAAACAGTCACCGAAACACTGCAAACCTGAGGTCCAAAACATAAATATAATACCCGCATTAAATACATCACCATCAAATGGCCATTTCTTGTTTGTTTCATTTTTAGCCACCATCAAACATGAGTTTATACTTTCTTACTGACAGTTTATTTCGTGTCAAATACAATAGCCCCTTATTACTTACTTTTGTAACAAATTGTTGGTTTTCAATCAAACCAAAAGGATGCCTATATCTACCAACATCTCAAATTGTAGAATAGTAATGACATAGCCAACGTATTTCCAAGGATTGTTACACGCTACTGAATAACATGCATGAGATCATGTTTCCTGTGATGTGGGGTATGCGTATTTAGCCCGAAATACCTAGTCTAGATTCCATATGCCCATGCCTGTTCACGAACTGACTAAATGGTGACCGTGAGGTATTACTATGTGCAACCTGACTGGGCACCGTCTGACTGTGTGTTCGAGTACCACAACGGTGTGTATCAGTGCTCATGCTACCAATTTCTTGCTTATCCAGACCATCTTCCCGAGGCAAGTCCAGTTTCCTTGACGAATTTGGCTGGAATTTACAGGCTCGATGAGAAGCTACCAGTGGCTATTACGAATTATGCCCCTTCTATGTCCCCCCAATTCTCGTATCACTTGCATTTGCCTCTAACAAAATGGCGGTGCACTGTAAAGACGATTTTATCGATAATCAAGATCTATATAAAACGGGTCTAACCACGCGAAGTGCATCATATGACTTGAGTACTTTGACTAAAAACATGAAAAGACTTGCAAAATATCTGTCGACATCCAGTTGGCGGTGCACATGCTTTGCAAATCCCGCAGTCGACAGAAATCTGCACGTTGAAATCCGTGTTGTTTGCCAATCGGATGTCTAGTTCGTCACGCAATTTTGATTGGACTATGCAGTCCAGCCAACATGTACCTCCGGAATTCCAGCCAAGTTCGGCAAGGATGGAAAGTGGAATTTTGTAGTCAGTTAACGCTCTTGCCTCGCGAAGATGGGACCAGACACAAGTACGTACAGGCTGCCGTGATGGTAGTAATGGCAGCACCAATGACAACCCGATCAACCACGACGCAAACACCAACAAGTGCTATCACTGCCACTTCAAATGAAACAGCAGCGTTGAATCACTCGCACACACACACACACACACACACGCACGCACGCACACGCAAACACACACACACACACACACACACATTCACGCACGCGTGCATGCCCGCAAACACACAAGGACGCACGCACGCGCGCACGAACGCAAACACACAAGGACGCACGCACGCGCGCACGCACACACACACACACACACACGCACATGCACTACAAACATCTTGGGTTAAAATATATTTAGTGACACCTCCCCACCCTCACTGGAACAGTGTAATCCCTCTGATAGTATAGGACGCTACCGTTGACAAGGTGTATATCTAGGTCTGAACTTATTCTAATGCATAAATGTTCAAGGGCATGTCATGGGAGTACACGTGATCTTCTTCACGTAATGTTTGAAGTTTAGAAAAGTCCCGAAATTACTTCTGACAATTTCCCAAAAATAATCCACAAATTTCAATTATTTATCCTACATTGTGTATGATTATGTGTAGCTACAAATGTGCAAGGTTATATGCAGCGCTCTATGCTGCCTCGTGGAGCAATAAGGTGTCAGACGTGTGGCTACAGGGTATGTGGTGTGTGGTGTGTGGCTACAGCGTCCGGCTGCAGTGTATGTAAGGTGACAGACTACGTAAAGCTACAATGTGTAGATTATGTAAAGCTACAACGTGTAGACTATGTAAAGATACAATGTGTAGACTATGTAAAGATACAATGTGTAAGATTATGTAAAGCTACAACGTGTAGACTACGTAAAGCTACAACGTGTAGACTATGTAAAGATACAATGTGTAGACTATGTAAAGCTACAATGTGTAAGATTATGTAAAGCTACAACGTGTATACTATGTAAAGATACAATATGTAGACTATGTAAGATACAATGTGTAAGATTATGTAAAGCTACAACGTGTAGACTACGTAAAGCTACAATGTGTAGACTATGCAAAGCTACAATGTGTAGACTATGCAAAGCTACAATGTGTAAGATTATGTAAAGCTACAACGTGTAAGATTATGTAAAGCTATAAAGTTTACGATTATTACAAGCTACAACGTGTAGACTACGTAAAGCTACAATGTGAAGACTATGTAAAGCTACAATGTGTAGACTATGTAAAGCTACAACGTGTAGACTACGTAAAGCTACAATGTGTAGACTATGTAAAGCTACAACATGTAGACTATGCAAAGCTACAATGTGTAAGATTATGTAAAGCTATAAAGTTTACGATTATTACAAGCTACAGCGTGTCGACTACGTAAAGCTACAATGTGTAGACTATGTAAAGCTACAATGTGTAGACTATGTAAAGCTACAACATGTAGACTATGCAAAGCTACAATGTGTAGACTATGCAAAGCTACAATGTGTAAGATTATGTAAAGCTATAAAGTTTACGATTATTACAAGCTACAGCGTGTCGACTACGTAAAGCTACAATGTGAAGACTATGTAAAGCTACAATGTGTAGACTATGTAAAGCTACAACATGTAGACTATGTAAAGCTATAACATGTAACTATGTAAAGCTATAAAGTGTACGATTATGACAAGCTACAACGTGTACGATGATGTGCAGCTACAATACGTGATACATATATCAACATATCCCACCACTGGGTGATAATGCGATTATTGTTTTTCTTGTTTATACAGGTTCCGCGATCCCTGCCTCCTCGTGCTGAATGTATCGCCTGCCAATATCCAACAGGTTTCGGTGTATGTTATACCCCAGCCTAGCGCCCGGCTTCACAGATTACAAAAACAGATAGTATGCAGCAAACAACATGTGGTAGATGGTACACCGCAACTCTCTGGGATCACTGAGAGAGGATGCGTGAGAATAGGGGATGCATGTTGTAACACCTCAACACGCAATCATGGCCGATGTCACACGTGACGTCACAGCCCAGCACGTGCACTCACCTGACTTCCCCACCCCCAAAGATCCAACCAGGGCGATGTTGTATTCCGGTGCTCCACCGTTGCGATGAAACACCTTTCCTCTCCCCGACATTTTGATTAAACACCTGTTGACAATGCTGGGAAGGGTTTCAACATGGCTCGGGACATACAGGATACAGAAATGTTTTTGTTCACAAATGACGTCTAATCATAACACATCTTTTATGATCTTTACTGAAAGTCATAGGTTATGATATACTCTGATATCAAACTGATCTTAGATATTATTTACATGCTTCTTGCTCTTGTAGATAATACAGTACCAATTAGTTTGATATGTACGATTCAAACTACCATTGATAATCTTCAAATGAGGTTGAGGCAAAGGATAGTTTATCTGCTATCTTGAGACTGGCGCTGAGTAAAATATTCACAATCCGAACTCTGACCGGTTGATGACCATAGCTTCTAGATGTTGGTTCCAACAAAACGGGCTTAATTAAATCCAAAATTTCACAGAACCGCTCAGTACACCTCCTCACACAGAAAATGTACCCCTGGGTGAAATTTCCAAGAATATATGGCGTCACGGTTCTTCCACTTGGGAATGTTTATGTGGTAAAACTTCACTGGTTTACTTTATAAATCCGAATTTCTTCAACTCGCGGCCATGATTCTGTTATAGTGAACGCTATCACTGTGTCCTCCACGCTATCTCCCCCATACAGCTGCTTTCCACACTGAAGTATTAGGTAAGTCCAGCAAGGGCCGAACGAAGCAAAGCAGTCCGTAAACTTGGTATTCCAAGGCACAAGTTCAACTTGTGTTACCTCGTTATAACAGCATCTCAATTCACGATATGCCTACCTGTGTACAACAACCTCGTTATAAAAGTGTTTCACTACAGTGCGTCTCCATGCCAAGTAACCACCATGCTATGTTTACATCCACAGTTTGATTGTGATGGTCTCTGGTTTTCCGATCCAGCGTTCAACTGTTCACCACCACCTTGACGCCGATCACTCGCCAAGTCTATAAACCCTTCTCTCAAATGATCTTCCACTGATGTTATCTTCCCATTCTGGAGTGAGTTTGCGCTAGCACCAAACTTCCTTCGTTGAGAAGAAGTTACGAAACTTCTGTAGGTTCATACCCATTGTGCATTCTCCGATTCCAGCACATACAGCCAGCCTCTATCATTCACAGTTCCTCAAGCGCCTGAGGAAGACGGTGTCTGACTGGCAAGCCTACGCGTTCACGGACCCCGACTGCGAAGGAAGAGATAGGCCCGACCCGCACATGTGTTGGTGCTATTTCAGGATACTGTGGGGATAGGAGCGGAGTCTCTTCACCCCTCAGCGCCAGTAGATGCCGCGGCTTTACTCAACCCCAACAGTTATCATAACCCCGGCCGTCCTCGTATCATCAGTTTACGATGTAAATCAAGACATACAGCTCTAGGGGATAAGATTGCGTTCAACGAGGGTGGGGAACAGGATGAGTAGGGGTGCGAGTTTTCGGGGAGAATAGCCCCCGAGGGAGGGAAGGGATGATTTGGGTGAGGGCAGTGGGTAGGATTGCGTGGTCTAGGGATGGGAGTGTGCTTGCATGTACTGTGGGACGATAGTGCTCCAAAGGGTATAGTGTGTATTGGATTGAGATTCGGCAGGGTGGGTGGGGGTGTATTGTGGAAAGGATGAATATTTGATTGAGATTGACTGGGTAAGTATTGGATGGATTTGGACTGGATGTGCATGGAGGAAGATGGACTGGGTGGGTATGGGGGAGATAGACTGGGTGAGTATGGGTGGAGATAGACTGGGTGAGTATGGGGGGAGATGGACTGGGTGAGGATGGGGGGGAGTTAGGCTGGGCGAGTATGGGAGGAGATGGACTGGGTGAGTAGGAGGGGGGGGGGGTGTACTGGGTGAGGATGGGGGAGATAGACTTTGTGAGTATTGGGGGGGGGGGGGCGGGGGTGGACCGGGTAAGTATGGGTGGGAGGGAGATGGACTGGGTGGGAATGGGGGGAGATGGACTGGGTGAGGATGGGGGGGAGATGGACTGAGTGAGTATGGGGGGGGGGGGGGAGATGGACTGGGTGAGTATGGGGGGAGATGGACTGGGTGATTATAGGAAGAGATGGACTGGGTGAGTATGGGGGGGATGGACTGGGTGAGTATGGGGGGATGGACTTGGTGAGTATGGGGGGGGGAGATGGACTGGGTGAGTATGGGGGGATGGACTTGGTGAGTATGGGGGGGGGGGGAGATGGACTGGTTGAGTATTGAGGGGGATGGACTGGGTGAATATGGGGGGAGATGGACTGGGTGAGGATGGGGGGAGATGGACTGGGTGAGTATGGGGGGGATGGACTGGGTGAGTATGGGGGGATGGACTGGGTGAGTATAGGGGGGGAGATTAACTAGTTGAGTATGGAGGGGGATGGACTGGGTGAATATGGGGGGGGATGGACTGGGTGAGTATGGGGGGAGGTAGACTGGGTGAGTATGGAAGGGGAGGAGGCAGGGAAGAGTGGGGTTTGTGTGGGAGGGAGTATGGGCAGGGAAACAGCAAATATAGGTGACGAAAAGGTAATAAATCAAGAATATGAATGAATCTTCTATGAGGATAGATAGCTCGTGTACTATAAATGGTTACATAATTATTATCACCTTGTTGATATCTTCGAGGCGGGGCATTGTGAAGCGGGCACCGTATGCATGTTGTGTGGGCACTGGGTGAAGAGGTGTGTGTTGAGATGAGGGCTATAGGTGGAAGGAAGTGGACATGGCGAGTATTTGTGCTTATGACGGTGTGGAGGGGAGTGGGTGATAAATAGGGGGAAATATGTCTTCCATGAGTACCTGTCAGGGATAAACTGGTACACACACAGTACAGGCTTGACACCTAAGTCGGGGAGGGAGTACCAAATGTATTTGCACTTGGAAGACCTTTAGCTGATCTTTATTTCAGATCCAACACTTTTTCTTAAAACCTTTATGAGATTATGTTGCCATTAACAACGAATTTAACACCTATGAACGATACCTATACGAATTACATACATCACGACTTCCCAGTTCCTGTCTCTTTCTCCTCGCCAACTTAAGCCCATATCTCCATCGTCCAGGCATTACTGCAACTCAAGGGATGACAGTGTACGAGTACGAGAATAAGATTTAGAACTACGAGCAGTGGGGGTATCACAATCGGATACATATACGTGACAAGAGAACACATAAGTCACTACGTATACCAGTGTCCTGGGCCCACTTGCACAAAGCGATCTTAGCGCTAAGATGATCTTTAATCCCATACTTTAACATAGGCTTACGATAGTCTTAGCGCTAAGATTGCTTTGTGCAAGTGGGCCTTGATCTACAAAGCGTTAGCGCTACGGACGCTCTGTGCCCCAAGTACGGGAAAATGGATAAACAACATAAATAAATATGTATACATATATAAATATTCAGTTTGTCATCTTGAATGTATTATAGATGCAAAACGATAAAGATGTCCTTTCGATCCTAGTATACTGCATGAAAATAGTTTTTTACCTAATGTCGAAAGAAAGGATTTTTTTTCGGGGGGGTGGGGGGGTTGGGGGGGGGGGGGGTGGAGGGTGGTTGAGTGTGTGGGGGTGCGTGCGTGTGTGCGTGTGTGCGTTTGTTTATTGTTTTACATAATCAAAATTTCAGTTGAGTATTATGCAGTATTCTGCAAGAACCATTTGCATCGCATGAAATGACACGTTAAGTAAAAAGGCTCATGGGATACTCTTTGCTGATGCAGGTTTTATAATTAAAACCATCACTCCGAAATGAGAGAAGGGCAGATTAGCAAGGAACTAAATACAGCATCCTACAAAAAAAACCAAGTCCGTTACATAACGCCGAAACAAGCTCCATAATCGTAAAGCTAATGTTCTCTAATGTTTAACATATTTAAACATTCAGTTCATGGTAATATTCATGCTGTGCAAATATTCTGTTTAAAGCCTTCCTTCCCAAATTGGGACTATACATTAGTCAATATTCAGATCGAAATTGTCTTTGAAAACATTAACATGCGCCAGACCACTCCAGGCACACTTCCAATAGGATAGGCGCCATTTAGTTCATTTCAATTTTTATACGTACATGTTTTGTATTACATGCACATTTTATCTCCCCCTGTAAGACATTCTTTGCAAATCCATCACTTGCCACTGACCCTCTTGTGTGAGAGGCAGCACTTTCTTGTCGTATTTAAAGACAACATTCTAAAACCAGTCCTGCATTTAGCGGCATGTTCACGAAACAGGCGCCTCCGTTAAAATACTTCAAGTGTGCTTTACTGTCCGCCCACACGATAATCTTAACATTGCCGGGTAACGAACTCAAACTTGGGAATGTCGCTTTTTTAACATTTTGGGATCGTGGCTTCAATTTTCTAGTTCATCTGTGCCTTAAAATCCACATGCATGCTGTTCTGTGTCAATATTAATGTTTACAGAAAACACACACATTATGATCATATCATGGTAAGGGTATAAAATATGATAATTTATTTCTTTTAGTGTTTAACGTTCTGGTAAAACAAATAACGTATCTATGTTTTTTTCCTAATACATTTTCCTTAAAGTAGAAACACAGGTCTTCCCTTAATGTTTCTATAATTGGGTTCTTTGGTGTAAGTACTCACTTACCACAAGGACAGATTGTCTGCTGGAACGAGACTTCTGTCAATAGATGAGAGATCGGTCGTTTATTTATGAGACACTGGGTGCCAATGACATATGGATTTGTATCTTTGACAGAGCCATAACCGTAAGTACTTCTGAAAGTGGAAACACAGGCTTAAACATGCGGGTTTATAACATACTCATCTTCAGTTAATGTCGGAAAAACCTTTTGTCGAGAAGAAGCTACGAAGGAACACGTTAGTATTATGTGTGTAAATTCTACCCATTTCATCTATGCAAATTCAGCGTTAGAAGTATGGTTTAGAGAAAAGCCAGCTTTACGATACGAAATCATGATAGGGGTAATTAACTCTTGTTTATGAGCCCTCATCGAGGATTTGCATCAAACCATTTATACTGTTCTTTGAGGGAGCTGGTCGCAAGCCAGCGGAGATGCCAGATTCAAAGAACAGTTAAACACCTGGATGCTTTAGGGAAGTGAAGGGTTGAGGAGGGGGTGGAAGAAAGGCGGGAGGGGGTGAAGGTAAGAAGCTGAGACAGGCTTCAGAGGGGGAGGCTAGCGTTGTTTACAGTGATGAGGTACATGAGCCTCCGTATGCTCTTTTAGCGCACATCAGGTGGGAGTCTCATCTCACCACCGGAAGTGATGCCGCTGTCACGAGATAGTGCCAGATTTATTTAAACAGGATGGAGTGACGAAGGAAAAAAGGAGAGAAAGAAGCATGAAGCATGCAAGACGAGCAAATTCATCGCAAAACTGAATAAACCTTTTTGAGGGAATATCTGTAATGCTAATCTTTTCGAACCTACCATAAAGTAAACATGAATTATTAAGCGAATTGCATGAAAATCCTGGTCCAATGATCAAATGTGACTAGTATGAAGAAACGTGCCATATGTTAACCAGTATTTTCGCTATGTAACGGAGCAGTCAATGTCAAAACAGATAATCACACACAAAATTAACACTGATAATAAATAACTGAATTTGTAAAATAATTACAGCCTAACCTAAATGTTTTTTTGTTTTTTTGGTTAAACAAGGTATTCAAGAAATTCGAAAAGGAAGGACTACAACACCCAAGAGATCATGGAAGGAGATAACAATTTGACCGATATGTGTGAAGAGTTACATACACTTAATCTAACCAGCTGTTCACTTCTCCCGCGGAATTCTGCTTATTGCCACGGGTTCTGTTATGATCTGAATAGACATTATGCAGTTTCAAAACTGTTTTTCATAAAGATAAAAAAACCTGCACATCCGTGGGACTACCATGCCTGAAGTGCGGTGGAGTAGCCTGGTAGTTGAAGCGTTCGCTCGTCACGCCGAAGACCCGGGTTCGATTCCCCACATGGGTACAATATGTGAAGCCCATTTCTGGTGTCCCCCGCTGTGATATTGCATGAATATTGCTAAAAGCGGCGTAAAACCATACTCACTCACTCACCATGCCTGAAATGTTTCCTGATGAAAAATAACGTTGAAAACCTTTTAATGACAACACTAGTATTAATGACCCACTTTGTTAGGGAAGTCTTCAGAAGTAGAAGTAACTAAAAGCGAAGAAGCCATTCCATAATCATAAGAAATCACTGCCAAAAGCAGTCGAATGAG